CATCCTGGGGTCAGGGATGCTGTCTGCATAGATGAAAAGCAGGTTGGGAGGTGTGCAGAGAACTCCCAGCCAGCTGGCCAGGAGGGAGGGGCCCAGAGTAATTTGATATGGCCATTTGGCCTAGTGACACAGGGGACAATTGGAACAATACAGAGCAGGACACTGAGGGCATGTGATACAAGGCATTAATAAGGGGATTAATAATTGGCAGGCTCCCATACCGTGACAATATGCATATACTTTTTGACTACCATTGATCTATGGCAGCCAATCTCAACCAGGGTTCCATGGAATTCTAGGGTTCCTCCAGATATTGCTAGAGTTTCCTAGTTGATCTCCAAACTGATGGTCCCCGCATAGTTCCGGGGCCAACAACACTTGCCAAAGTCAGGCATAACATCCATGATCTTTTAGCTATCTCTAAGGGTGGAATTCTGTAGGTGGTATTCATCCCACTGCCAACCAATGTATTAGTTATTTTTTTTCCCACTGACTCCCAATGAGTTGGTTTAGCAGGGGGTTTTCCAAGACCTGAAAATTATTTAAAAGTTTCCTCAGGTAAAAAGATTAAAAATGGCTGATCTATGTTATTGTCATGGTTGGCCCATTTGCTAGATAGGATTCGTCATGGCAATCAAGGGGTTCAATGCTGCTGCTTTTAAATTCTGAGGCCAGTCCTGTATTGTATGTAGATGTGATATGGACCAGCCAATTCATTTAAAGTCTGGTGCTGTTAGTGACAGCCCAGCAAGGAGAACCTGTCACCACCTGTGGGATGAAGGTAGGGCTGCCATACTGTAAAAGGGAAAGTTGGAATTCACCTCCATGCAAGTGTAGAGTTGACTTAAGGGTCATGTGATCACTACTTGGGGTGTCTGAAAACCCTAACACTCAGGGGGACCATGTATATTATTACATAGCTTCCTAGTGACGATAATACTGTATAAATACTGTATAATAATAATTTGCTAAGCAATATATATTTTTTATTTTAATTGTTTTTTTTTTTGTTTTTGTTTTTTTTAATACAGCCTATATATTTTATTACTTCTTTTTATTCCTTTTGTGGCCCATATACAAGATTTTAATAGTGTCCTAGTAGAGCCCCCACATTCTTACCTTTTCTTCACTACCTTAGCGATCCATTCAGAGTTGGGAGCTGACGGAAATGTATTTCCAGTTATGGAGAAATGTGCAAATTACACCAAGTGATAGCCCTGGACCAATCATCATTACCATATGGGGGGCTCCTAACCTTTTGTAAGCTATGACTCCAGCCATTTGTGCCTTACACTGGGCTTGCTGTTAGTTCCTGGTAGCTAAATGGAGAGGTGGGGAAGAGAAAGTAGGTAAGTAGTAAGTATACATGTCTTTGGAGTTCTTCTGCAAACTCCAGGCAGGTGGTGCCGTGGTTGGGATTCGAAACAAAGACCCTAGTACTGCCAGGCTGAAGTGCTAACCATTTAGCCACTGTGCTTTGTATGCAAAAATGCCCGTATTGAATAAGAAAAATGAAAGCATCCACGGGAGCCATGCCGCAACCCAACATACTAACATTACTTAGTAAATGTTCTGAATTGCTTTAATGTTTTAATAAAAAATTTTAAAATTTCAATAAGGCCCTGTCCATTCTGGGCTTTAGCCGTGGTGCATTGGGTTTTGCCGATTAGCTGCGGGTGGAGGGCACAGATGTCCCATCCTGTCCTGCTGCCGGCAGCCTGTAAAACTCTGTGAGAGGCTGACAGCTGCTGCAACTGAAAGTACAAACGTTTGTGCAGTATGCGCCCAGGGACGACGAAGGACTGGAATACAGACTTCTTGGGCAGTATGCGCCCAGGGACGAAGGACTGGAATACAGACTTCTTGGGCAGTATGCGCCCAGGGACGAAGGGCTGGAATACAGACTTCTTGGGCAGTATGCGCCCAGGGACGAAGGGCGGAATGCCTGTTGGGCAATACAAGGGCTGGAATACAGACTTCTTGGGCAGTATGCGCCCAGGGACGAAGGGCTGGAATACAGACTTCTTGGGCAGTATGCGCCCAGGGACGAATGCTGGAATACAGACTTCTTGGGCAGTATGCGCCCAGGGACGAAGGACTGGAATACAGACTTCTTGGGCATACGCCCAGGGACGAATGCCTCAGACTTCTTGGGCAGTATGTGCCCAGGGACGAAGGACTGGAATACAGACTTCTTGGGCAGTATGCGCTCAGGGACAAATGACTGGAATACAGACTTCTTGGGCAGTATGCGCCCAGGGACGAATGCCTGGAATACAGACTTCTTGGGCAGTATGCGCCCAGGGACGAATGCCTGGAATACAGACTTCTTGGGCAGTATGCGCCCAGGGACGAATGCCTGGAATACAGACTTCTTGGGCAGTATGCGCCCAGGGACGAATACCTGGAATACAGACTTCTTGGGCAGTATACAAATGACTGGAATACAGACTTCTTGGGCAGTATGCGCCCAGGGACGAATGCCTGGAATACAGACTTCTTGGGCAGTATGGCAGTATGCGCCCAGGGACGAATGCCTGGAATACAGACTTCTTGGGCAGTATGCCCCCAGGGATGAATGACTGGAATACAGACTTCTTGGGCAGTATGCGCCCAGGGACGAATGCCTGGGATACAGACTTCTTGGGCAGTTGCGCCCAGGGACAAATGCCTGGATACAGACTTCTTGGGCAGGATGCCCCCAGGGACTGGAAAGACTTCTTGGGTAGTATGCGCCCAGGGACGAATGCCTGGGATACAGACTTCTTGGGCAGTATGCGCCCAGGGACAAATGCCTGGAATACAGACTTCTTGCCTTCTGGGCATTCGTCTCTGAGCGCATACTGCCCTAAATGTTTGTACCTCTAGATGCAGCCCCGTCCAGCTGTCAGCCTCTCATTGACAGGCTGCAAGGAGCAGGCCTGGTTGGTGTACATGTGCCTTCTGCCCGCCAAAATCCAATGCTTTGGGACTTAACACCCACTGTGCATGGCAGCTAAAGCTGAAGTAGAAAAGGTGACAGTATTTTAATTAAAGTGGGCATGCATCCAGTGGAAAAAAATTATGTAAAATCATTGCAATATGGAAAAAACATAAGATGTCAACATCTCTAATGGATCTTTCAAAGTGACAGAGAAGGATATTGAATTATTTGCAGACCGTCCAATGCAAAAACCACAAATGACCTGCAACATTTGTCCAGTCCTGTGTCCATGTATTAATTAACCTAGCTTGTCCCTAGGGACAGGTTTCATGTCATACAGCATCCAATGCATGCCTTGTCATTTCCTCTGTGCTGCCTCGCAGATGTGGGTGTGCCAATGTGAATTAAAGTGATATTAAATGCTCAGTTTGTATTTTTTACCTGCTCTGTGCAGTGGTTTTGCACAGAGCAGCCCATATTCTCCTCTTCTTGGGTCCCCTGCCAACACATCTGGCTCCTCCCCCTCAAGTAGTGCCCCCAGAGCAAGTTGCGTGGCTCGGCCCTGTCCCTCTCTCTTCTACTGGCTGTGATTGACAGCAGCACTAGCCAATGGCTCCCACTGCTGTGTCTGAGCCAAAGAGGAGGAAGAGACCTGGGAGAGCGCCACTGCTCTCATGCACATTGCTGGATCAAGATCAAGCTTGGGTAAGTATTAGGGTGGCTGGGGTGGGAGCAGCAGGTTTTTTGCCTTCATACATAGCCTTTACAACCAATTTAAGAAGAAAAAAAATCTTCCAGCTACATGGTGAGATCTGTGTGTTTGTGAATGCTCTGCCTGCTTGTGTCTGTATCAGATCTAAATACTGTGTAGCTCTCACCTGCAGAGCACTAGACTGAGAGACCCATGCAATGCGGGATATGTAGTTCCTTCAAAGGAAGTGTCAGTTCTCACACTACAGACAGAAGTCATGTATTAACCTGTGCAGTGCCCCGCTGCATGCCTCATGTTTGAACACAGAGACTGCTGACACATGAATGTGAAGATTTACTCTACTATAGATTGTGCATACCGGCAACAAACATGACTACATAATCAATGCACATCTTATTCTGGGAAACACAAGTCACAGGTTGGAAGGTTTATAATACATTTAAGGCAGAGGTGGGCACCCTCTGCACCCCAGCTGTTGTGGAACTACAAGACCTATCAGGCATTGCAAGAATGACAACCACAGGCATGACTCTCAGAGGCAGAGGCATGATGGGATTTGTAGTTTCACCATAGCTGGAGTGCTGAGGTTACCTACCCCTTACTCTAAAGCAGGGGTCTCCAAACTTTCTAAACAAAGGGCCAGTTTAGTGTCCTTCAAACTTAAGGGGGGCTGAACTGTGGCCAGTGTTAGAAGAAGACATCCTGGCATCAGTGGGGCATCAAAGTCCCATCATTGGTATTGGGGGTGTAATAATGCCCCATCATTGGTGTCAGTGGGAGGAATAGACTTCAGACCTTAGGGGGGCTGGACTGTGGCCATTGGGAGTTGAAATTGTCCTGGTGTCAGTGGGAGTAAACACTGCATCTTCGGTATCAGTGGGAGGAATAATGCCCTATTGTTGGTGTCAGTATGAGTGCCTCATCATTGGTGTCAGTAGAAGGAATAGTGCCCTGTTGTTGGTGTCAGTGGGAGAAATAGGGCCCTATTGCTGATGTCAGTAGCATGAATTATGCCCCATTGTTGGTGTCAGTGGGAGGAAAGCTGCCTCAAGGGCCGGATAAAGGCAAGCACAGGGCCGCATCCGGCCCCTGGGCCGCAGTTTGGAGACCCCTGCTCTAAAGTCTCACTTTGCCAAGATCTGTGTTCTCTCTGACATGAAGAACTCTTTTGATCATTGTACAAAAATGAAATCTGCGTTGATTCTGCGTTCTATGATGATAAAACAGGAAAATCGCCAAGTAAGTGAATACTTTGTATAGGGTACAGTGTGCGGGCTGTGAGCTGCTCAGTTATGTAACCCAAGCTTAAAATGATCGTTTTTGGATTTTTTGTAATCTTTGATTTTGGTGTTTGTCCTCTGACAGGTCCTCGGGTGTCTACAGAAATCCACTTTAAAGGTGACTATCCTGTCCACTTGCTCGGTGTCTGACTATAAAACCACAGAATCCACATACAACCTCCCCGTGCCCTTCCTGAAGGCGCTGAAGACAAACTGTTACACCGACGGGACTCCTTGCGGCCCTCTGGAGCAGCCGAATATTGTGGATGGGCTCCCTGCTGCCGGTAAATATTAAATCTGAATGCAAGCCTTCCCTTCCCTCTTACGGTTCTCTTTTTTTTCTGGACTGAAATTGCTTACTCTGATTTCACTGCACACTGTGCGAAGCTTACAGCGTGCATTAGAAGCCACAGCTAGTCAGTCATTTTATGGTTGGGGGACGTCCATCATCCTCTAGCTCATTCCTCCCCAGCCTGACTGTCCTTGACCCACTCCTTCTGTTATTTGGATTTCAGTTCTTGCAATCAATATGCATACATTTGTATATGTGCTTCTGCAAGTCCCAGCATATACCTGCATACAGCTGCATCCTGTGATTGATTTCCATTGGTCTCAATATTGCCTGGTTGGGGGTCTCCTGAATTGTGTGTTCTAAAGCCCCAGGCAGTCATGTACATGAAGCCTTAGGGCTTGTGTCAACTGTTTTTTGTATGTCTCAGAACAGCCTGAAGCAGGTCTATACAGCTTAGGAGGATAGCTGCAGGCCATATGGATCCATCAGTAACCTCACAAACATCTCAGACTGATGTTAGATGCAAGCAAGCCGCATTTTCCAGTCAACACAAGTCCAAATCCAAGGGATTCAGGCCTTTAGCTTAACCACTTCCCATCCGGCCCATGTACAGTATATAAACAGCCGGATGGGAGCAGTGCAGGAGCCGGTTGCCGTTTATAAACGGGGCCCGCATTTGCATCTTGTGCGCGCTCCCTGGTAGTGCGCGGCACCGTAATCCGGTGCCTGCTGTGTCCGGAGAACACCGATTGCTGTACTGGACCTCTGTGTCAGGTCCCGAGTCATGTGATCACTGATTGGCCAGTCAGCAATCACATGAATAGTAGTAAGCAATGATGTCACTTCTGACATCATTGCTTACTACGTGTGAAATCTGTGAATGATCACAGAGATCACATGGTACAGGGCTAGTCACAACAGCCTTGTACCATGTGACAAGCTGTGACCAATCACAGGTCACACGGTATTTTCTCAATGGCTGCAAGAATGCAGCCAGAGAGAAGGAGAAATGATTGCTTTTACAGCCTTTATGGGTGTAAAAGCAATCCGTGTAAAAAAAAAATCTTCACCACCCCCCCACAAGAGTACAGTGTCACTATGGTGACAGTATGTTAAAAATGATAATTTTTGGTATAAACTAACTTGACTTATTTTTTTTACTAAAAAGATAACTGAATACATTTTGGCCGAGATTTATGAAGAAAGATTATTTATTTGCAAAATTTTTGGACTTTTTCATTTATATAGCAAAACAATAAAATTCCCAGTGGTGAATAAATACCACCAAAATAAAGTTTTATCTGTCTCAAAAAAATTCTAAAGAATTGATATATGGGTACAGTGTTGCATGACCGCGCAATTGTCATTCAAAGTGTGATAGCGCTGAAAGAGGAAAATTGGCCTGGGCAGGAAGGGGGTGAAAGTGTCCGGACTGGAGGTGGTTAAAGTGGTTGTAAACCCTTCCATATACCCAGTGAAGTGACTGGCCTCAGGTGATGCACAGAGATGAAACAAATCCTCCTACATAAGTTGTACCTATTTATCTGAAGTATTCTCTACATCCGTTTAAAGAAGGGGTCTCTAAACTTTATAAACAAAGGGTCAGTTTATTGTCCTTCAGACTTTAGGGGGGCCAGACTGAGACCAGTGGTATTGGAATATTCTCTGGCATCAGTGAGAGTAAACATCAACACATTTGGTACCCCATCATTGATATCATTGAGAGGAATAGTGCCCCATTGTTGGTGCCAGTGGAATAAGTGGTGCCCTATTGTTGATGTCTCATATCAGTGGGAAGAAAATACCCCAAGGGCCGGATAAAGGTAAGCAAAGGGCTGCATTCAGCCCCCGGGCCACAGTTTGGAGACCACTGGTCTAAAGCGCTGTATTTATAAAGCTTGTCTGAGAGTTCAGAAAAAAGGGGATGGATAGCTGAAAGTACACACTGCAGAGTTCAGTGAGAAGAGCTCTAAGAGCTGATTGGAGGGAAAAGACACCCCCCCTTCACACAGCTTACAGACACAGAGTTGGGGCTATCACTCTGCTGTTGGCTTCCCTCCCCATCACTATTTTTTTTTTTTTTTTTTTGTCAGGAAAACTTGTCAGAGGTAATTTATGCTGCTAGCAGAGGATCGAAGCAGCAGACAGAAATGACACTTGGTGCTGTGGACGGAGACAAGTGCACTCTATGGAGGGATATGCTTTGTACATATTTCATCTCTGAAGTTTAAAAAACCACTTTAAAGTGGAGTTCCATCCAAAAGTGGAAGCATATCTGCCACGCCACCCCCCATCCTCCCCATCACACACTTTGCTGCCACATTTGGCACCATTTGGCCACAGCGAACAGAGCCGGAAGTTGATAAGGCCCAGAGGACTGCAGCCCATGCACAAAGCTCTTCGTGCATGCGCAGTAGGTAAATTGCCAGTTTCCCTTAGTCAAAATGGCAGCGCCAGCACCCGAGTGGGGACACTGCTGGATCCCAGGACAGGTAAGTGCCCCAATATTAAAAGTCAGCAGCAGTGTTTGTAAAACTCCGCTTGAATTCATATAATCTAAGCCTATGGATACAAAAGTGTAGCAACAACTACATTTCCTGCTGCCCATAATAATTATTTAGGATCTTTATTCATTTCCAGCACTGCAATGTACAAATGGCAGTTGGAAGGTTTACATTTGCTACAAAAAAAAAAAAAAAAAAAAATCTTTTTATTACATAAGCCTCCTATTTTGTTTTTTGCTCAGGGGTATATAGCACCACATCAGTCAGATGTCTTTTGCTTCCTTCATTGTCCCCATAACTGTTATTAGAATTTTGAGTAACCAGTACCAGTCTTTGCATCCAAGTGATTATTTGTCTTCTTGCAGTGATGGCGTACTGTCAGGTATGGGGGGATCCCCGCCGTGTATTACCAGTGCTACACCGACATCACCAAACTGGACTCCGTCACCATTGAGGCTTTCCGCCCAGTCCTGTCCTGTCAGAGCATGAGCCTGCTGGTCGCGGTAAGCTTTCAATATCTGAATGTCTGTAGATAAGTCTTGCTGGGATAGGAGATCAGGAGAAGGGATGAACCACTTGACTTTACTGGGGAAAATGCTGCTGTGTGCTCCCTGCAGTGCTAATCTCTGCTGAAGATGATTGTTCTTCCAGTCGGATCCCCCCTTTAAAGTGACTCTAAAGACTTTTTTTTTAGAAAAAATAACAAACATGTCTATACTTACCTGCTGTGCGCAGTGGTTTTGCACAGAGAAGCCGGATCCTCCTTTTGTTGCAGGCTCTCCTGGCCCCCCGTCCTGTCAGATGCCCCCGCAGCAGGTACCTTGCTATCGGGGCACCCGCTGCTCCGTGTGTCCATTCACACATGGAGCTGCGGCTTGACCCGCCCCCTCTCTCTTCTCATTGGCTCACTGGCTGTAATTGACAGCAGTAAGAGCCAATGGCTCCTGTCTCAGCCAATGTGGAGAGGGAGTCCCGGGCTAGCAGAGACTCCAGTGCACATCGCTGGATCGAGGGGGCTTGGATGAGTATTAGGGGAGGCTGGGGGGGGGGGGGGGATGCTGCACACAGCATAGAAGGCATGAAAGTAAAAACTTTGAGCCTTTACAACCACTTTAACAGCTGATAGTGAATTGGTGCAATTGGTATCTTTCACAGCCTTAGATTTTGATTCAGATAAGAACTGCTAGTTCTTTTTTTGCAAACCCAATTAAACCCAAAAGAAAACATTATTATTATATTGCATCTTACCAGTTCTTAGATGTGATGGCTGCATTAGTTTTCTGTTTTAGGCTTTCTTTCCTTTATTTTTATCTGGTGATCCGGCATGTAAATCTGTCGTTTTTCAAAAGAAAAAGCTCTTTTCCAGCTGTATCAGTTTACAGGGATTGGACAAACCATTTAGCACTGGCAGGGGTGCTTACAATGATCCGCTTTTACTTATTCATATAAAACCTTTAGCCCAAAAGAAAAAAAACTGTTTGCTGTAACTGCTTATAAAGTGTTGGCTGGAGATCAGCTTCACTTTGTTAGTGTATCTAAATCTCCTAGTACATATAACATTCCCGTCCCCCCTGACTTACAATGCTGCCGTCCAAAGGTGCCCCCTGTGCTCCTTCATCCAGAGTTAAGGCTATCTAATACAGGGGGTGTGATACTGGCCAGATCACCAGGTGAAAACAGAGAGGAAAAAAACTAAAAAAAAAAAAAAACTAATGCAGCCATCTAATGATTTGTACAGTTTGCTGCAATATACTACATTTTTAGTTTTGGGTTTTTTAATTATTTCAAGTATTTCTAATCCCAAACACTTAACCATTTGCGGCCCGCCCTATGGCCGAATGGCGGCCAGCAAATGTCATCAGCGTTCCGGGTGGACGCCATATGGCGTCCTCCTGCAAATGCGCAGATCGCGCTCCTGCAGAGCCGTGCAGCGGCGCGATCTGTCACCGGCCGTGTACCTCGGACACGGCCGATGACAGATCTGAGTACCGTCCCCCGTTGCCGGTACCATGTGACCTGCTGTGACCAATCACAGCAGGTCACATGACAGTTGTATACAATGGATGGCTTCATTCATGCCATCCATTGTATACTAGTGCCTAGCTGTGAATGGTCACAGCTAATCACATACACGTGTCATGTGATTAGCTGTGGCCAAATCACAGCTAAGCACAAAAAAAAAAACCCTGAATGAATCGATGTCATTCAGCTAAAATGCTTGCTTATAGCAAAGCAATTCTTTGCTATAAGCAAATTGTGTAAAAAAACAAAAAAAAAACAAATACTGATCACTTCCCCAAAGTAGTACAATGTTACTATGGTAACATTGTACTACTTTTGGTCATAGTGAAATATGAAAGAAAAATCTTAAAAAAAAATTAAAAAAATAATAAAAAAAAAAAATATATATATATTTTTTTTTTCATACTGTCACCAGTCAGTGTCCCTGATCACCGCCATGCCAGTTATATGATGACGCTGTACTGCACTGGTGACAATAGGTAAAAAAAAAAAATAGTGAAACTAATTTTTTTAATATTTTCATTTTCCTAAAAAATTATGACAAAAAAAACACAACTTCAAAAAACTCGCTATGCCTCTTATGAAGTACGTCGGACTGTCTACTTTGCAAAAAGGGGTCATTTGGGGATATTTGTACTATTCTGACATTCTTGGACCTCAAGAAATTAGATTGGCTGTCAGTACTTCAGGATTGATCAATATTCGGATCTATACCATAGTTTGTGAACTCTATAACTTTCCTACAAACTAAAAAATACATCCTAATTTGGGTTATTTTCACCAAAGACATGTAGCAGAATACATCTCGGCCTAAATTTATGAAGAACAATTATTTATTTGCAAACTTTTATAACAGAAACAAAAAAAAATTTGTTTTTTTAAAATTTGCGGTCTTTTTTTTGTTAATTTAGCAAAAAATAAAAACCCCGGCGGTGATTAAATACCACCAAAAGAAAGCTCACGTTGTGTGAAGAAAATGATAAAATTTTAGTTTGGGTACAGTGTTGTATGACCGCGCATTTGTCATTCAAAGTGTGAGAGCGCTGAAAACCTGAAAAAAGGCCTGGGCAGGAAGGGGTAAAATTGCCCAGTATTGAAATGGTTAAAGGGTAATTTAATCTTTTCTTGAAAAATCAGGTAAACTGACTCCAAATATCTTCCAGTGTAGTGGGCCGTACACTACGTATCCATTGTAATGCTCACAATGGGGAGCACTTATTGGTCAGTGCAGCCACATACCCGTGCTTACCAATGAGAAGCATATCTGAGGTTTCCTTTTCCAGTAAGAGGTGCTTCTCATTGGTCAGCGCAGTCATGTGGTCAAGCACCTTCCATTGTGAGCATGATGATGGATAGTGGCTCCTGTGAACTTAACTTGATTTGTGCATTTTTTTTTTAAAGATAATAAAAGGCTCTGTTAGATTTTGTTTTAATGGCTAAATCACCTTTTTAGACAAAAAGTAAATAAATGCACAGACAGTATTTGTGTGAAATAAAAAAAATAGGCTCATAGGAGCCTGCAATGCATTGCAAACACAATCGGTTTCATCTGCTTATATTTTTATTTCTGTCCCACCCAGGGGCGGACTGACAACTCATGGGGCCCCTGGGCAATAGGGGATTATGGGGCCCCTGTGTCCTTGCCCAAACTCAAAAAAGTCTATGAAAAAGGTACCAGGGGCATCTCATGGGGCCCCCTACTGACCCTGGGCCCTCGGGCAGTGCCTGAGTTTCCAAATGGTCAGTCCTCCCCTGGTCCCACCTCATCAACATGCTAGTGAAGTAACTAAAGAAAACATTTTTCATTTCTATTGCATACCATATTATAGACCCAGTAGTGACATTACCACTGGGTCTCTGTGCCTCTATGTGCAAAGCAGGCAGATTATTTATTTATTACAGGCATTTCTACAATGCAGTCAAGTAGCATAGCACTTTACCTACTGTGCCTACGGTCCCTATCTCAAATGCATACACACATACTAGGGCCAATTAACCTACCAGTATGTCTTCTGGAGTGTGGGAGGAAACTCAACTACCTTGTAGAAGACCATGCAAGCACAGGAAGAAGATGCAAACTTCATGCAGAGAGTGTCCTGGTGGGGATGTGAACCAAGGTCCCCAGTACTGCAAGGAAAAGGTGCTAACCAATGAGCTGCTTGGGCTAAAAAGGGCAGAATGCATTTGCATGCAGACAGCCCTCAGTAAAGCCTATGTTATCCTGAGCTTCTATAATTGAAGGAACTGGAATCCAGTGAATGAAAGGGGTGGGCCTAGACAGTCAGGCTTGGGAGGAAAGAGCTAGAGCACGGGTGTCAAACTGGCGGCCCTCCAGCTGTTGCCAAACTACAAGTCCCATGAGGCATTGCAAGGCTGACAGTTACAAGCAGGACTCCCAAAGGCAGAGGCATGATGGGACTTGTAGTTTCGAAACAGCTGGAGGGCCGCCAGTTTGACATCCCTGATCTAGATGATGCAGGACGTCCTCCAGGTGGGAAATGAGGTGGGCTCTGTATGACTTGCTGCAGCTTCTAATGCACAGTGTGAGGAGCTCAGGGCTCTGTGTCAAGGTCCATTACCACATGCCAAAGGGCTTCCAATAGTAACATACCCCTCCCCCTAGGCTTTTTGTTATGGCAGCAGAACTGGAGGGAGCCCAGGGCAGCATTTTCTCTGGGAAGTGATTGACATATTTGAAGCAAATGTACACACACTTATATTTTTATTATAAAAAAAAATATTTATTTTTATTATATAAAAAAAAATAATTATATATATGTATTATTATTAATATTATCATTTTGTGAGCTTTCTATAGCCCTTGTGTGCAATAAAAAAAAAATATATATATATATATATATATATATATAAAATATAATTTATTTATTGCAAACAAAGGCTATAGAAAGCTCGTTAAAATAATATATTATACTATTATATATATATATATATATATATATATATATATATATATATATATATATATATTATATTTTTTTTTTTTCTAATTATTATTTATTTTATTTGTGTATTTAATTTTTTTCGTTTCCTTTCCAGAAAACGGAAAACATTGCAGAGACTCTGAAGAAGACGGTGAGAACTACTGAAGTTCAGAGCAACCTCTACATATAGAGGTGTCTGCCGCTGTACATGATTGGCTACTACTGGCATGAGGCATGATGGGACTTGCAGTTCAGGAATGTGCGGACTTGCTGTAGTGTTGGTATAAAAAATCCACAGGACGCCATAGATGGGGCTGGTTCTATCATACTGTTGGATCAGTATGTGAAAGACTTAGCCCCGGTTCACACTGCTGCGGCTTATCATGCGACGTGTGACACATAAAGTCTCATGACAAGTCAAAACACATTCCTTGTAATGGGTGCCATCTTAATCCGAGTTGCAGTGACTCAAAAAAAAAAATAGAGGTTCCTTCACTACTTTTGTGCAACTTTGTTGCGACTTGAGTTCCATAGACTGCAATGTTAAATCACGAAAGTCGCTGCAAGGAAATTGCACGGCTCTGGAGCCGCAGCAGTGTGAACCTGAGCCTTAAAGTATAACTTGAGGCAAAAGTTGTGTTTTAGGTTTGTACACCATGAAGAGGTATTCGATCCCCTGTCAGGTTTTTATTGCTGTCTGTTCCCTCCATTAGGGAGATTCATACTCTCTATTTGCCATGTTTACTATTATCATCAAAAGTGAAAGTAAAAGAAAACCTCAATTTTGGGTTGTCACCAGAAAAGTACCAGAGGGGAAATTTTCCAGTTGGGACACTAGTTCTGGTGATCTCAGGGGCGCCAAGGAATTCCCTTAATTTGCAGAGATTTCCTCACTTCCTGTTTGGCTATGGGACAGGAAGTGAAGGGAAATATCCCCAATGGGGCACAGATGGTGGAAAAAACTGACAGGGTTATAACCCTCCCTTACTCCATCCAAAATGGAACAAGTTTAGCTCTTAGTTATACTTTAAAGTGACTTTGTACTGACAAATTTTAATTGGTGGAACACAGAGTTGCCCCAGGGGGTGTCTGCCTCAACCTTCCCAATGCTCCCTGCTGTCTTGTATTGCTGCTGGAGCACATGAAACCCCCCGTATTTGTAGGCAGTTGGGCCATCCCAATACAGACAAAGGGGGCAACTTCTCTAAGCCTATTAACGTCAATAGAAGGGATGGGGGGGATCAAACCTGCTACCTTCCCAAGGGCCCCATTCTACCAGCTTTGACCTTACAGCATCTTCTGAACAGCCTTTGATACATTGATCTGTATTTTGTCAGTATAGCCACTTTAGAGTGCAACTCCAACCAACCTTTTTTTTTTTTTGGCTGTCAATAAAATTGAAAAAAAATGAGAAATTCTGCCAGATATGTATTGCTTTCTGTGTCCCCACTGGAGATTTCCCTTCACTTCCTGTCTTGGTGACACACCAGGAAGTGATCGGGAAAGGAGGCGCCCACTTTTGACTGTAGTTGTTATTGGAAGTAGTGTCCTTATTGGGGGATCACCCATTTGTTCAACTAAAGTAAGAAAAAACGTTAGATTTTTTTTCTTCCACCTTCTATCCCATCAACAGTGCTCACCAAGACAGGAAATAGGAAAATCATCCCAACAGAACCAAAAAAAAAAACTGATAGAGGTTCCAACCAATCCCTGCTGTAGCCAAAACTAAAAAATGTTTTTTTAAAGTTGAACTCCGGGAAAAGTAAATATTGTCTAAATCCATTCATCATGTGTATTCATCCTGGAATCTTGTGCTTTGTGTATTTCATCCAGATCTGTGCAGTAATCCCGTGTGAGACTTTACTTCCTGTCTTCAAGACCGCTCACTGCTGCTCTCTCTCCTGGTGCAGGGTGACTGGTCTTGTCTCACCCCCTCCTGTAGTTTTCTGCAGGCAGCCTATAGTAGGTGGAACCTGCTGGGCCCCCTCCCACAGCTCTGCTCTCTGCACAGACTATGTACAGCACAGTGATGATGTCACTGCTACTTTACATAGTAATATCTGGCGTTGCAAAGGCATTTGGTACACAAAGTGGATTTATGTCCTAATGGCTATTGAGGAATACAGAATAAAAAATATTTAAAGTAGGTTATATGGTTGTTAATGTCATAGTTCACATCAGTGCTTGCAGTTCCAGTGCATTCTGGATGTAGAAATAAAAGTAGAATAGGCCGCATTTTTCCTGTACAGAACTGTACAATAAAATGCTTTAAAAATCACTGGAATGGAACGCACCCAAAACGCACTGGAACGCACGTGTCCCTATTTAAATTGAAGAAAGAGAGGGGAAAAAATGAACCAGAACGCATCAAAAACGCGCCAAAAAAAGCGTTAAAAATGTGGAAAAATGCATCCGGAATGCATCTGGACTGTGTTTCTATGGTGTGAACCGGCACTTAGTCCACCTTTGTCCAATGAAGAGATAAATGTCAGTTTGGTGATTTTATAGCAAGTTGTTCTGCTCAGAGTCGCTTTAGATAACAGTTCTCATCCAAAGCCATCGCGCTTCTTCATCGTAACAATGGAAGGAACCAGTTCAGTACTCACAGGGACCAATCGCAGGCTGCTTTCAGTTTGGTTGATTCTGATTGGTTGGTATGAGCTAGCGTTTTGTTCCATGCTCCATTTATTGAACAAGCCTGAATGCAGTGGTGTATTTAGGTTTTTTGCTGCCCTAGGCAACACAAAAATCAGACGCCCCCCCCGGCAGAGAGAGCTTGACACCCACCAACACCAGTGGCCAACAACACCCGTGCCCCCCCCGCCCACCTGAGAGAGCCTTCCACTAACACCAACTCCCCCCCCCCCCCCCCGGAAACAGAAAGAAAGACACTCACCTTCACAGCTCTGGACTTCCCCGAGAATGACAGTCGGGCTCTACATACACCATCAAGCAGCCTCTTTCAGATCCCACCTGGTCCCCATGCCACATATGTCCCTTCTTCCTGGGGGGAGGGGGGATGCTGCCCCCTGAAAAATGCCGCCCTAGGCAAATGCCTTGTGGTAAATACACGCCTGCCTGAATGTCTGTTATACATGGGAGAGTGCGGGTGGAAATTGTGATTGGAAGGTAAAAAAATGGTTAACTGGAGATTCCACCAATCCCATGACATCTAATGTATCTATGATGATATTTGCAGGGATCAGTTGAAGCGCCCCCTGTAGGCTGCCCTTAGGTTTTATATTTGTTTATATAGTAACTGATAATAAAAGGTTATTTTTCTTGTTAAAAGCATTTGTTTTGTGTCTTGTTTTAGTCGTCAGGGGTTTCTCTTTGAGATTCCCGGGGCCAGAATTGATGATATGCAAGGTGCAGTAACACACAGCAACCAATCAGAAGCCATCTTTAATTAATCAGAACAATTAGAAAGTGAATTTAGGTTGCTATGACTGCTCACTTGATTTCCCTCTGTCATTCCCATTATTGGAAGAAAAAAATCATCTCCTCAAGGTTACTTTTATACAGTGTTGTTATGCTTCATTGCATATCCTTACCTGCTTCTGTTCTGTAGATGGTGATATTGTCTTGCTATGAAGCACTGCAAGGGGCTGCCTTCACCATAATTGTCTTCAGTCCCATTGTTGTAATAACAAACATTGCTTCCCCTCTACCCTGCATAAACACATCACCTACTCTGCTCACTTTTAGGCGATCTCTGAAAACCTATCTCTTCAGGGAAGCCTATCCTGCCCTCAGCTAATACTGGAATCTTCCAACCAGTCCATCCCCCACAGTTATTACCTTTTGTACCACTAGCCCCTCCCTCTTAGATTGTAAGCTCCAAGGAGCAGGGCCCTCCTATCCTTCTTGTATTGAACTGTATTGTTGCTGTATTGTCCCCCGTTATATGTAAAGCTCTGAGCAAACTGTTGGCGCTATAGAAATCCTGTATAATAATAATAATAAAAAAAGATGGCAGTAAACCTAATAACATTTTGGGGGGGGTTAGTAAAGGGGTTTGGGGTGCCTGTAATTGCACCTCAAATTTCACCTCTGGGCAGACTTCTGCTAGCCAGTTTCAAGACAAAAGCTTTCATTGCTGAAGTGAAATTCATTCCCGGTGATGTTTACAGCTGAAGGGTAATACCTTCCCTTGCCTTCATACATACCCTCCCTTGATCAACATGCAAGTAAATACCTCTTTTGAGACCCATTGATATCATGACTGGGTCTGTCTGCTGGTCTTTGCTTCCAGTCTGGTAGAAAGGGCCCCTGTAAACATCTCAGCACCCTGCCCCAGATCTTGTTGCATTATATGAAAAAAACACATCCCTGGCATCCCTTTAGATGTGCATACTCCTCCCTACTGGCCACTAGGTGCTGCAGCAGACTGCCCTGGTGAGTATACATCCCTTGCTCCCTCCCCCAGCCCATGTTTTTTTTTTTTTGCGGTTTATATGAGCTTCACTGGTTTTTTCTATGATCTTCTTGGCATAGTTCTCCACTCCATTGCTGTCTACCTGGATGTTCCTGCACATCTTTGTGTGTGTTCTGGCTGTTCTTGTTGCATCCTTATAACGTAAAATGAATACCAATCCAGCAAGGATGGTGGGAACCATGTGTGCAGAGCCAGGAACTCACCAATTGAGTGCCCAAGTGACAGGGAAACACTTACCCTGTTTCGCCTTTCAGATATATGCTCTATATGTTGCATCCACTTCTCAAAAAACTAGTTTTCACTAAGAGACATATTAATACATTTCCAAGTGATCAATATGCAAATCATGACTTTTTTGCACATTCACTATAAGAACCCTCCTCTGCCCCTCTGCTCAAAGGTTTGGCATTTTGGTGTAATAATTTCCCCCTCCAGCAGGTGGCGCTGTGCTAGCTCCTGCAAATGACAGGAATGGCTGGATGTGCAATACAATTGTATTTAGGCAGTTTGGTAAAGGATTTTGCTGCCTGCACCTGGTAACAATTATATCGCTGCTGCAAAGCAAGGGCTGGGGGTGGATGGAACACTAAATATAGCCAAAATAAAGCAAGCAAATTATTTATTACAGTTACTTATACAGCATCGACAAATTATGCAACACTTTACATATTGTAATAAAACAGTTTAGCGCTGAATAATATTACCAATGATCAATAATAAATGCAAAAACCCAAATATATATGTGATAAACA